TCGGGACTAACATATGGTTTAATTTTATTTACATAATTCGCTTGCGCGTAGGGGTCTTTAGCAGTGGGAGGAAACCGGAGGACCCGGAGAAAACCCACGAGGTTGGACAGGCGACCCTACTTCTTGCCACGTACAACCGGGGATTCGAAACCACGCCAGTCGACTCAATGACAGACTTTATGATACAGCGCGCGCACGCTAACCATTCAGCCATCCAACCCCCCCAATCTGGCCATTGTTTTCAAGCATCTCATTATGTTAAACAGCAACGTCCAGGAATGGCAAAACAAGCGACGTCTTTGCCTTTGCATTAACATAGACTCTATGACTGAAATGTCCCTTTAAAGATAAATCCTTTATCATTGATGGCGTGACTTTCGTACTAAAATCTTACAGAAGAATTATATTTTATGACACGAACAAAGATGGGATACTGATCTGACTATTTTGTCGCCTTTTTTAAAAACGATAATATGCTTACAATGTATCAGTTAAACTGTATTCCAATAGAACATAATATAGAAAATAGCTAATGTCCTACTTTATAGCAGGATTTAATATAAGGATAAGAAGCCAGTTGAAAGGAAAAGTCCTTGATAATTACGAACGATAAACATGGAATCCATTATCATGAGCGTACGCGCGCGATGACTGTTAGGGGGCGGTGTGTGTGTGGGTGGGTGGGGACGGTGTGTGTGTGTGTGTGGGTGGGGTGTGTGTATGGGTGGGGGCGGTGTGTGTGTGTGGGTGGGGCGTGGGTGGGAGGGGAACCCGTAATGCCCGAAAATATTTCGGGTTACCGTAATTCCAGCCCGTGAATAAAAAGACTTCAAAGTAGTCTAACATAGGTGGCTGACTCGAATTCCAACCAACCAATCAATCGTTTACAGTCCACGAAGATAGGATCGTCGGGAGAAAATTTTGAAGATTTAACTGCCGCAAACGCGTTTTCCTGCTATTACAGCCCGTGAACACAGCAACTTCAATTTGTTCCAATATAGCCTACCTTAGGTGGAACGCCCTGAATCCCAAACAACCAATCAATCTGTGTAGGGTATGGGGGCATCGCCCTCCCGGAGAAAATTTTGAAAATTTAACTGCGTTTTTCTGCTATTCAAAGTTTTCCAATGGTTTTGTAACCGAAACCCCACTCTATGCCGACCCGAATTCCTACCACACTGTCGGGGCTGCATTCACAAATAATAATCGATGCCCGAAAAGAGAAATTCCCACAAAGTTGAGTGGCTCCAGACATAATGTTTTAATCCATACACTGTTAAAAATAATAAAGTAGTTTACAGCGATTCGGATGGAAACTAGTTGCCACCTAAATAGGGGTAACTCCTAGCCTTTATAAGTGGTGTAAGCCGATAACATCCAACTAGTGTAGAACATTACACCAATTCAGGTGGAAACTAGTTGCCACTTTCAGTAGTGTAACCTGCCTGATGCACCCAGACAGTGTAATGTTACACTTAAATATATAGTTTACAGCCGTGGGTGTAGATTAAGCATTACCCCTCAAGGATGTTTTGTAAGTTACGCTTCCACTGTAATCATTACACCAACGCGGGTGTAATTTGTTTTGTTGGATATTTATTTCAAGCCCACGACTTCTAATTTCAGAATACTTGAAATTTCCTATAGGTCTCTATAATAATTAGTATGGGGCGTTTAGCCCGACGCAGATTAAACATACTTTTACGACATTAAATTGACAAACACCCATCAGACTGATTCAAATTCAACTGCTTTTGGGCAATTAGACAATCTGTATCAATTTACAATGACTATAAATCATGAGGAAAAATCAATACACATATCCTTACAACTGAAATTTTCAGTGAATTCCCTTTACATTATCTAGTTTTTAACTATTATAGTGAGAACTGCCAACCCTTTATCTAATCTCCCATAATGTATCTTTAACTGTGTAGCCAATTCATTAAAAATTCGCGGTATTCAATTAAAAGAAAAGTAAAACTAGTCCTTTATTAGATTTCGGTCACTTTATTTTGCCAAGTAGATGAAATAACAATTTTTGTTTTCACTTTACCCGCCTGCCCCCTGGCTCGTAGTGTTAGTGTAACACTACTATTGTGGCACACAGGACGGTAATGACTTTAAATTCCATTAGATTTAAACTACAAAGAACCCGTAAGTTGAAATGTTCATTGAATACATACATGTGTATTTAATATAATCGCACGCTTTCTAATCCCCTCAATAACAAAAACATTAAAATAAATATTGTCTCCGATTAAATTTATTCTTGTAATGCATTAGAGATGAAAAGATATCAAATATGATTAAATCATACTTTTGAAACAAAGTCGGTGTTAGTATGATTAGAGAGTTCAAACCGTCCATGTATTTTTTTAACAATCCTTTTTTTTAGCCCAAAGAATCGCAATTACCGATGAGCAATTACCCAAGGTACAGGCATGCCAGGTTTCAGTACGAACGTACCCGTATTGGCATAGCCTTGGGTTTTCTTTTTTAAGAGGTCGTCAATAGCAAAAGAAGAATATTAACAAGTGGTTAAAGAACTAGTTTCTGGTTTAAATATCTTCCAAGACGTCATTGTGATGTACACGATTAATCTAACAGTCCATGAGTAGTACGTGATCGTTTTAGTAGTTTCCAGTAGTTTATAGAACGCTTGCTTTCACAGATCGTGATTTCGTTTACTGTACTACTGCAACCCTTTGGAAATAAGGTTTCCAGCTTGATTTCAATGTGATGCCACATAATTTGTTTATATCGACAAAATATAACTAAAGTGTAAAAAAGTGTAGATTTTTGAATAAGCTTGTTGCAAATAATGTGTTCAAACGCATTTATCAGGTAATTATCTTGGAAAGAAAATACAGCAAGCCCTAGCTGATCCCTTAACTTCTTTGCTCATGACATCATTTTTGTCTCAAAATTATCACTAAGGGGTCGTATTAGGTGAGTCTCAAGTTTATATCTCGGTGTATGTGATCATTTTCTTGGTAATGCTAGGTTCTCTCTGCCGTGCAATGCCTTACGAACGCAACGCTTGGCCATTCGTAACTATTGCTGACAAGGGGGAACAGACTTGAAAATCCGAGGCTTTTAAAAATTATTAAGGTATATTGTATTGCATAAAGTGCAAAATAAGAGTGTGCTTACGATCTTCAAAATACCTGATAGCCCAATGTGTTTTTCAGCGGTAATGCCTGACCTTTAAGAACACGTCGTGTAGTATAGGCCAACGCCATAGGGAAACTCATTTCCAGGCGCCATTTTGTGTTCCAAATAATGCCACAAAAACCATGACGTCCTACAGCTTTACTTAACGTTACAAAACGTTTCATTTACTTCTTGCAGTTTTATAGGTGGGGAGGAATAACGTTTTATAAATTGCCAAAAAAACAAAACAAAAACAATGCAGTTTGGTTCAATGATAAATATGTCAGACAAAATCATATTCAAATTCAGCCAAGGCAAACTGACGTAATTAACATAATTCAGTATGGCGTTCTTCAATAATTTTCGGAGAGCGATATCTTTTAATCAGAGTTTTTTAGTCGTGGGATAATGAATAATTTATTTTTAAATTCTCCAAACACAGAGCAATTATGCAAGCGAAATTTGCCGAAAAATCGAATTTGACAAACATGAATTAAAAAAATGTATTTTTCATATTGTTTCCGGCATTTCTTTCAAAATGGTTAATATAATGCAATTAAAAAAACCCCCAAAAAACACATTAATTTGGTAATAAAAGGGCAGCGATAATCTCGTAAGATCTGACTTTTCCTATGTCTTTTATATGGTCTTCGATATCTGAATATCTAAATTTCGGAAATCCAAAATGGCAGTAACACAAATCGGCAGATATTATTTAAATCGTCATTTTTTCTAGTTGGATATTACTTGTAACATGTCATTTCTCGATGTCACCGGGTTCAATACTGATCTCAAAAATGAATCTATGATGGCAGAAATTCAAAATGACCGGCAAAATTTAATACATACACAGCTTTGGTATACACTCAGCAAACCTCGGCAGATTCCGTAACTCTACATCTAGCCTCGGCTGTATGCCGGTAAGTGACATGTACCTACGCCTATACAATTGCGATACGGCACCGGTTTACTTATTAGGAAAAACTTGCCGCTTTTAAAAAGGAGTTATCAAAATTGCGTCCTTCGAAGCGTGTGTAGAATTTTCGGTGCAAAGTTGTTACTTGTTGGAAGAAAATCGGATAAACTTGAAAGAAAAACAGCTTCAGACTTTGTATGATAAAACATTCTTCAAAGGCGTCGTCATGGGCAACGTCGTTGGTAATCCGGGAACTTAAAAGTAGTTCCAATGGCGGACTTCGTCATACATCCGGGGCTAGATGTAGGGTACTGGAATCTGCTGAGGTTTGCGTGTGTAGAATTTTCGGTGCAAAGTTGTTACTTGTTGGAAGAAAATCGGATAAACCTGAAAGAAAAACAGCTTCAGACTTTGAAATATTTGTATGATAAAACATTCTTCAAAGGCGTCGTCATAGGCAACGTCGTTGGTAAACCGGGAACTTAAAAGTAGTTCCAATGGCGGACTTCGTCATACATCCGGGGCTAGATGTATGGTACTGGAATCTGCTGAGGTTTGCCGAGTGCTTTGGTATAGGCCTACCTGTGACGTCATACGGCGTCGATAACACGTGCTTTGTTTACATGGGACGTCGTAACACAAACTGGTCCAGCCTGAAGGTGCCATTTACTCATTTTCACCTTGGCGTACTATTGTATATAACAAAGCTTTGTTGTACTTGTATTACTAACTTGATCTTATTTTATATATTCTTATCTTATATTTCAGATAGAAAGCCGCAAGGACATTACCCCAGTTCATCAGACGATATAAAATTACAGGAAAACAATTAACCTAATTGTCTAGCTATCATTTAATTTAATTTAATTTTAATTTCATTCCAAGAAGTAAAGAGTGGACATATACACATATGCAACAGCCATTAAAGGCGTGGTAGCTTCTCTGAGGATGGCAACTATTTTTAATGATGTCATTGACAATCTGTGGGTCAATGTAAGTGAAGTTGTGTCCCATTCACCAGTTCAACTAAGAGTAGTGAATATTACACATTTTCAGGAATATCAAATAGCAGAACAAATCATTCATTACATTTCACCAGTGCTTTCGATATGTGGAATTATTGGGAATACACTTACACTATTAGTACTAGTGACGTCATCATTTCGGAAATCAGTTACGTGTTGGTATATGACTATTATCGCTGTGCTCGACACTATAGCCTTAATATTTCAGTTGGTTTGGTATTTCATTCGACCTAAAGTTAAACCCGACCTTTTTACTGGAAGAGCCTGTGCAATTATGTACGCCATTTTCTTTTTTGCCATTCATTACAATGTGTTTCTGTTAGTTGCCATGACAATTCAGCGATACATAGTAGTTCGTTTTCCACTTCGTGCCCAAAAGTTAGTAAACAAAAAACGCACTATTTACGTTATAGTAGCGCTGGGATTATTATCTCTTGTAATAAACGCACATCACCTGTTCACGAGAAAACCAATCACCAGTCTAGAGACTGGATTAATCATGTGTACAGCAGACGTGAACAGTGAAACATTTATAAAATTTGTGTGGCCTTTGATGGATGCCATTTTGTATGGATTCGCGCCACTTTTCTGCCTGACTGTGTTCAACGTTCTTATTGTCAGGCAATTGCGTCATGCCGGCAGACGACATCGTGAAATGGTTGGAAGCGGTAGTCAGAAAGATAGTGGTTGTTTTACGAGCAGTCAAGCACAGGTCACGCTTATGCTCCTACTTGTGTCAGCGTCCTTTATGGTGTTTGTTACGCCAATTGCCTTAACGGTTGTGATCGAAAGATATGCGTTGCGTCTCACAACACCCCATGACAGAGCAACGCATTATCTAGTTCGCGTCATAGCTAGCATATTAATGTTTACAAACCACTCACTCAATTTTGTACTTTATTGTTTAAGTGGTAGAAAGTTCCGAGCCGCCATTTGGGCAGTGTTCATTTGTAGCCAATCAGGTAATAATAACAAATTTGAAATCACGCCTTTAGCGTCCGTTAGAAAAGAGAATAGTCATATTTTAGCACAGATTGTGGAATCTATAAGTGACGAGGATAACGTTTCGTTGCCAGGCAACGTTACGTCAGAGTACCCAGATAATTTACAGATGTTATGAATTAAAGGGACGATTTTATGAAAGAAAATTTGTTTCATTGGGATTTAAATAAACAAGTGTTAGTTTATTACATCTTTAATGTGCCTATAAATGTTTAACAAAAATATAGGTTCTGCTTTTGATGACATTTATATATTGTTTTGATATAGCTGTATTGTATGGCAGATAGTAGATTCTGTTTAGAAATCCAGCGGAAGATCGGTTCCGAGAGTGCATTTGTCGTCTTCTTAATCTAAACATAACCCAAGAGATCCTCGTTTAAATATTCAATATTAATTTTGTAGACACACAAATACACGTGCATACATATTTCTCAGTAATTTAAGACAAATACACATCGCACTGCTCACATTGGCTGCTACAGATATAAATGAAATGAAATGGGGTTGACGTCCTACTTTTCTATTCAATCAGGGCTAATGAAGACGAACCAGGGGAGGATTGGGCCACCCGAAGGGCCGGTCGGAAAAAAATGAAAAAAATAATTTTGTCCAATTCGTCTATAAAACCTTATTCTGCTGAACATTATATGGGGTGGGTGTGTGTGTGTGTGTGTGGGGGGGGGGGGGGGGGGTATTGGACCGGCCATGGAGCGATGATGATCATGTTGTATGTGGCCGGTGGCTTTAACGGGCCGTCACGCCATCACTGGAGTCTGGAATGGGCTGGTGTAATATACTTTCGGGGCCGGGTGTGCTGGGGGTGGGCCGGAATTCGGAATCCTGCATAATATGACGATATGATAATTTCACAGGTTGATGGTTGTAAATTACTTGCAGGTCGGGGTTTTGGCCTAAATTAATCGATTTATGAGATATAATATTTGAAAGAGATTATAATCAGATATGCCACCAAATCGCATATTTGGGGTTTATTTTTCAAAATTTTCCAGGGGGAGAGCCCCCGGACCACCCGTCCGGGCTCCGCGGTCAGTAAAAGGGGTCGCTCCGACACGGAAGCCCGGGCCGGTTCCTGGCCACAATCCGCCCCTGAGACGAACGAATATATGTTGTCCCTTGCGAGGCCAACTGTCCTGCACCACTGACAATGGGGAACCATACCTGAAAATCCCGATGAACTTTCTCAGCCAAAGCAAGAATAGGACACAGGACCTCCAGGTTAGTAAGCCAACGTCTTATTCACTGAACCACCATGGTCCCCGCAGGTAAAAGATCCCGTGACAAGTGGAATTCAACGTACAACTTTCTTCATCATTCCGGTTTGTGTAGAATAATAGGACGTTAAACCGTATTTCATTTAATTTCATATGAAATTAAAAATGCATTATGTAAGATTTAGATAAAGAGCTGACACTTCTTGCCATAATAGTTCCAAAATTAATTAGTTCATTCTGAGCGATGTTATGATTGTTTGATTTTTGACATAGATTGATAATTATCGCAGCAACGTTACTTGTTAATCGTGACTCAGTCTCGCTTCTCCATTTTTAAATTAAATCATTAAATGGCAATCGTATTTTAATCCGCAATCCGATGTCCCAGAGAGGTGATTATAGACTACAATATTTTATATAACATTTGCAGCCAAAATAAGAACCTGTGATAGGCAGATTTAGCTCTTACATAATGCATCTTTAAACTGGATGTTTTATGTTTGGGATAAAGCACGAGACTGAGGTTATGCTGGGGAAAAAAGAGTGAAGAAAATAACCCAAGAGAAAGGAAAACCGAGGACTTTATCTTGCTTATAAACCGTCTATGTTTACATGTTCGTAATATGGGATATCCCAGAATTCCATTAAGAAAACCCTTATATCATGTTCCCTTACGGGAAAAAAGCCTACCTTGGAAGAATAACCCGTTACAGGCTTGAAGAAAAACTTTCAGAAGAATAACCCCAAATTCCCCTGTATATATCCAAAGCCGCTCCCGACTTTCAGATCGCAAGTTATTCCGGGCATAGAATATACCCCAAAGATCAAAGAGATTTTCCGTTATAGGTGTATAATTCCCTTTAATACCTAACATTAAATATTGTCCCTGAACGTCATTTGAGGTAGACAACAATACATGTATTGTGAATGTTGAACCTGTTTAATTCCGTTCTATATTTACAAAGATGTAATAGAAAAATGTTCGCTTTTCACTATTTAACACACCTTTCAGCAGATATAAACGGGATATGGTAAAAACAACCAATCCCTACTATAATCTTTTATAAAATCCTTTAATGGTTATTTCTTAATCCTGGGAATTATCTAACGGTGACATGTTTTAAATATTGTTTAATGTTAAATAATCAATTTAAGTATATTTTAGCGTGAATTCGATCAGCGGTTTTAAAGAAGAGGCATTATGACGTTAACTGAAAAAATAAATGTTATGAATTTCATAAAATAGCCTTGGATTTACTAATTATTGAAAATCAAAGCTGTAGCATACCCAGTTTCTAACCTTCTTAAAAATGTGAAACTTTACAAATCTAAATCTCAGGAATGGATTGGCATATTTGTCTAAATTTTTGTAAACAATAATGTTATCTGAATATATCCCAATCCCATTAGGCTTTATATAAAAATGAAGTCATATAGAAAGATATCTACACAAAGCGACTGCATAATACACCCACACTGAATTGTGAACATATAAAACCATTTTTGTTGTCGGCTGGCAAAGAAGGGCAATGTGAGTGCCTCTTTAAGCTTTCCTTGCGAGGTCATCTCCGCCCAGTTACCCTTGGGATTTCTATGAGCGAGTTCACCATGCTATATTTAAAGTATTGCACTCCCTATTATTTGTTCAGTTGAAATTTTTGTTTGCATAATTTGAAATCTCATATTGTGTTGAAAATCAGTATATTCTGAAATAACATCCCTTTGCCGATCTCTAAAACAGATAAATGGTATTTGTATTTACATTTGGGCGTTGTATTGCAGATTTAAAAGAATTAATAGTTTAGAGACACAGTAAACACTATGATTTACACTTTCCGGTCACGTGATTAAATGACACGGTGTGTTATTAGCCTACCCCGTTAAAGTCGTTCATATGATTAAACGAGTGTATGCATAACGTCTCAATAAACAGTATATCTATGTAGTAAGCTAAGCTTAAAATTAATTCTGTTAATGTAGCTACTGCCGATTTATTGATATAATCTAAAATATGAATAAAGGCATATAACAAACAATATAAATAAAGGCATACAATATAAATAAAAGCATATAACAAACAATATAAATAAAGACATATAACAAACAATATAAATAAAGGCATATAACCAAAATTATAAATAAAAGGAACTGATAATAAAACATTAGGTCATTTGTGGCAAGATGACAATTTGCAAGTGAAAAGAAAACTTAGTTAATTAGATGATAATGACTCGAAATGCAGGATTTACAAAGATGATAATATAGACTAGTTATTGTATCTAAAAGGACGACTTATGAACATTAAATATATATATACATTATTTGATTGGCTGTATTTACTAAATTTAAGATGATACAAAATATACCCGACAACCAAGTGAGTAAATCATAATGTAACGATAAAATACATTTATTTCTCTACATAAAATAAAATGTTTCAGCCACGAAATGAAATGACACATCGCTTGTCCAGCAGAGCGTTATAATAGAGCATGAAAAGCATAGCCAATAACAAACACAAATAAACACCTTAGGGAAATTCCCGCTAAGAGGACTAGACTTGCGTGGGAGTGGATTGAATCTGTGCAATCGAAGTTAAATCTCTGCAAAATTTGTACTTTTAGCTCAACACATTCACACTAAGGAGAAACAAATTCGAATACATAAAGGCATAAATAAATAAATAAATAAATAAATAGACCTACTGCATTATCAATACCTGCCACCATTCTACATCACAGTTACTCTGAAAGCCAAAATGTTCAGTTTGCTGTTCACTTCTTCAGTCGGCAATTATGGACCGTCTCAGATTGGCCCAAAATACAACACTACCTTCCGGGTCGTCTGTATAGTCTATATAAGAATCTGCTCTCATCGACTGGACCAGAGCCTCAGGTAACTCATTGACAGGAATACGTTCACATACAATAACAGTAATTACATTCCGCCCAGTGCTGATACTCTCAACTTTAGCCATATTCAACTCATAAATACACCAGTAACTATTAAGAAAATTTTTCGTCAAGAGGATGAGGGTCTTCTTGCTGTTTCTTACTGCGCTCAAAATGTTGGCCGCTATATCCTCTCCAGGTAGAAAATCTCTGTGATGAATACAAAGATTCAGTCCATGTTCTGTTTCCAGCTTCTGTCTCATGTCCTGGGTAACCAACAGACGATCCTCGTCAGCATAAGATACGAAAGCGTGATATTCAAACTGGGTGTTTTCGTTATCAACGAGGGGGAATGCTCTATGGTATCTATTTCTGGTTAAATAGTAAAGATATCTTAACTTCCACCGATAGCGATATATCAAACTTCCAATCAAAACACTGGCTATAACAAACAAGCTCCCAGTCAAAATTATTACCATAACTGACAACGAAGCACACTGTCGCTCCAACTGGATGATGATTGCATCTAAGTTGGACAGAATCAGTTCTTTCTTCTTATTATCTTCGCATTTGTAATCATCGCGTCTGACAAAAATTGTCGTGTTGGATTTCATCCATTTTAGAAAAGGTAAGGTCTCACAGGTGCACTGTAATGTCTGCCCCGATAGATCCACCGTTAATTGTTTATTATCATCGTACTGGCGATCTCCATAGTTTCTAAATTGCACTGGTAGACTTGTCATTTGATTTGAGGACAGATCAATGTATCGAAGATCTTTCATGTGATCAATGTCCAAGGTCCACACCTTCAGGATATTTTTGGATAAATCCAGCTTTTGAAGATTAACTTGTCCACGTAGCAGTGCCGACGGAAGTGTTCTAATTTTGTTCTCAGAAATATCTAAAGTTTCCAGAGCTTGTAATTTATGAAATATATTTCCTTTTACATCAGCCTCGAAAACAGCTGCTAGAAAATTAGACGCAACAAACAGCTTTCGAAGTCCGGGAAAACTATCAAAGAATGTTTCCTTAATGTAGTCGCAAAAGTTGTTTGAAAGAATTAGCCATTCCAGTTTGGTCACTCCCTGTACTGGTCCTACCCATCTATTAAAAACATTGCCGGATACGTCAATCAATTTACATGTGTTATTTCCAAAGCGCATATTCGGGATTGGAAAATTGAGAAAAGACTTGCTAACATTTACATATTCTAGGTTCGGTGGAACTTTAATAGTGAAATTCTTTAGATTAAAAGAAAGACTACTCAGAGCAGGAGTATGTGGGTCATTCTTAATTTCTAAACGTTTGTGAACAGGCAGTGAGGATATATTGCTTTGATTATTTTTAAAAGGGTCTATACTGGATACATTCATTTTTTGGCAGAATGTGCTCTCGTGATCTCTGGATTTTGAAAAGGAGGAAACATAGCGGGAAGACTGAGGTTTATGACGGGATTCTGGGTCATGTGAGCTGTATTGTTGACTTGTATCTGCACAGACGAGATTTTTCATGTTCTCGAGTGCAAGTAAGTACCACCCATATGTTGGTCTATTATCTAGCACGCTAATTACTCGTAGAGTTGGGGGCAAAAGTGGGATCGCCTCTAGTTCTATTAGTTCGAACCTGTTATGATCTAAATAAAGTTCCGTTATATTGAGATGCTTTATTTGGTTCACGTTTAAACCTGTTATTACGATTCCAACTGCAAAAGGATCAACAATACTACTGAGGTCAAGAACTCGAAAATCTGGAGATTTTAACGAATGTAGAGCCCCAAAGGCTCTGTCAAACCCTAAGTTAGTGTTGAACGACATATCCAGCAAACGCAACTGGGTGAAAACGGCAAACGAAGAGTTGTGAATAAGGCGAAGGTGGCATTGACTTAATATTAATTCATGTATATGGGATACTGGGGCAAATGTATTGTTATATATATTCCATGTTTGACAATTGCCAGAAAAATTGAGATGAAGCAAATTTGTGAGACTAGAGAAGCCTTCACCCAGATTCAGATTTGGTATACCATCAATATACAACTCCTGGAGAGATTTTAAGTGACGAATTGCTCTGTCAGGATAGGACTCGTTTATGGTGCTCAAAATCAGATTAGACGATAAGTCCAGATTTTCTAAGTTAACCAGTGGTTTAAATACGTCCTCGGGATAACTCTTGCTAAATTCCATACTGTTGTGCTGAAGGTTTAGTGTTATCAAAGTTTCCAACCCATAAAAAGAATTTCGACTGAGATTACTTATTTTATTGTTCGAAATATCTAGACTGACAAGACTAGTTTGATCAAAGATATAATCCGGAATTTCGTCTATATTGTTATCTTTGAGAATAAGAATGGTAGTGTTAGGTGGAATATTAGGCGGTATAACTGTCAGACTTTTATTGGTGCAGTCTATGGTTAGCTCTTGACAAACACAAATTTCGCAGATGTCATGATGAGAACTGATTACAGATTCACCAACCATCAATACAAGCATAGTGACCTTTAACAACGACATCCTGAAAACAAACACAACAATAGTCACATTAAATACAATGAAAACTTGCTTTAAGTATGATATTTACTTACTGCACTAAGGTTTACACGAGTTCTTGTCATTGAGGATAACTGGTCTTAAGTATACAGTGAAACGGTAGTGTAATAGTATGTGACAACGCGGTATCAGACGTTATTGTAGTAATTCGTATCCAGTAATAGTATTAATAAAACCATAGTGGTTTTCTTAAATGCCGTTTTCAGTTTAGGCATCAAATTATCATTTTAGATCTTAGAATGTATGTAATTTGTGTTTCTGTTATCAATGCATCGTTTCGCTTTATTTTCGTTCTATCAACCGACGAAGAAAAACTCGAAAATTGAATTAGAGGCCGCGTAAATAGTCACAGGACTTCCGAAATTCAATATTAGACAGCGCGTTTCTCTGAATCTGGTTGGAACAAATTTTCTGATCGCAAGGGTATTAATAACGCACCTTAATAACAACTAAAAATTACTAGAAAATTCAATTAGAGGCCGTAAGAGTAGTCACCGGAGTTCCAAAATTCAGTAGTAGAGTAGCGCTTTACTATGAATCTGGTTGAAACAAACTTTCTGAACGAGGGGGTAAGAATACCGCACCTCAACTAGAAATTACCCATGCCTTTGAAAGCAATACACATAGATACAACTTAAGAAATAGTGATCACATTTCCCCACCCCACTGTGGAACTTTATTATATAAAAAATCTTTGTGTCCATCAACAATTCAGGACTGGAACTTATTGGATTCTTCAACAAAGAAAATAGAAAATATCAAACTTTTTAAAGACACTAAAAACCCCGCGATAATAGAAAATTGAGTATTTTACAGACAAAACTACATCGTGGGTGCAGTTCCCTTAACTCAGATCTGTTCTGGATAAACTTAACGGAAAATATTCATTTACTATTTGGTTTTTTTGAAATATGTAAATTTTAGCTTTTTGTCAGTTGGGAATATGTAGCTTGCGAAATTGAATAGTATATTCGGGTCAAGATATACGACACAAATCACAACTGCTTTAGGCGGAGATCCCCTCCCCCACCACCGACCCCCCACCCACACCCTCTCTCCCTCTCTCACCCCAGTCAAATATCCTGCGTTAATCACTGTAAATATCCCGTTGGTTCGAATGAATCAACGGGGGTAAACATATTTAGTACTAAATATGTAATTATGGCACATCACACGTATGTATGGTGAGTGGTTTGTTCACGGCGACAGTATTAATAGAACATTTTAGTCACGATTCAAACTTTTATCGCTACGTTTCTTTTTCTTTCATAATAGTGTACTACGTCTTCTATAGTGTCTAGATCAATATAAAGTACAGCACACAATTGATGTTAATAATTGTGGTACGCACATGCTTAAAGGTAGAGATGACACCGCCATATTTCATACACTCTGGGGCCATAATTAAGAAAGTTAGGGTCCGATACGCGCAAGTATTAAGAGGAACCCAGACCTTTGGGATATAAACATATATTTTATAGCTTCATTAAAATCGGATAAACATTGTGACGTCTAGAGTGTCCACAACCTTTGTTAGGTTGAGGAAACCTGAGATTGCTTGGAAAATTGAAGAAATCAACGGTTCAAAACTTATTTTTAGAGCGAAAACACAATACAATACACAAGACGATGCACCTTACATATGGAAAAAGTATCGGTGTATACTTAATTATGACATCGACGAAAATGACCGGCCAAGATCTACACAATGTCAATCTCACAACCTTGGTATTACATACTTATACACTATTTGCGTAAGGGGAGCGGCCATTTTGTCGGGCAGTTTCGTTCCGATTTATGAACTCGGCCGTCATTGTGGTGTAACGGTGACATATTTAAACGTTGTTTTTTTTTTAAATCGGATAAAAATTGGACTTCCAGAGGGTTCCACAAGCTACAAAAAGGCTATTTTTCGTATAATCAGGACGGTCAGATATGCGCGAATATCGAACGGAACCACGAGCCTTGGGAGATAAACCTATATTTCAAATTTCGTCAAAATCGGTTAAAAATTTGACCTGTAGAGTGTCAACAAACAAAAAGTGTACGGACACACTGACGTACGGACACACACACACATACATGTTTATGATGTAAATCAAAGATTCTGACAGTCTGCCCCTAATCGAGGTCTGGATAAATATTGCATGTAACTTAAAAGCACCGTCATTTCTGAACTCTATTAAATCAAACAATTATGAAAAAATATAAATAATACCTTAATTTATTTGTATGCATTTGCCATTTTACAGAAGAAATGCCATCACACAGGGGGTTGCAAATAATTGGGGAAATCCGACCGACCGAGTCCCTATGCTAGTTACACCTGGCGTATGTTATGGAATGTAGGATGGGGAGATGATCGGAAGTGGGAGAATGAAGGCGGGATGGGGGTCGCACGAACTCTGTGATGCTCGTTTGTTGTAATATTACTTATAATCATGATAACATCAATATATGAATCCTCATTGAATGATTGTAATATTGTTTACAAGTTATTACTAACTTGAATTTTAAAAAAACTAACTTGAATCTTCAAGATACTTCCACTAACTTGGCACTAACTTGTATCATTTTTTAAAGTTTCAAGTTAATATCTTGAAATTTCTAGTTAATAACTTTGTAGTTAATATCTTGAAATTTCTAGTTAATGTCTTGAAATTTCAAGTTAATATTTTGACATTTCAAGTTAATATCTTGAAATATAAGATATTGGCTTAACCGTTCAAGATATTACCTAAACCGTTGAAGATATTAACTTGAACGCCTCAACTACTAACATTTTGAAATACCAAATTGAACTTAAACTTTAAAGATATAACCTAAACTTTTAAGATATTAACTTAAACCGAACTTTTAAGATATTAACTGAAGCTAAACTTTTAAGATATTAACTTAAACTTTTAAGATATTAACTTAAACTTTTAAGATATTAACTTTTAAGATATTTATTTAACCTTTATTTGACATTAACTTAAACTTGTAAGATATTAACTTAAACTTTGAAGATATTAACATAAACTTTTAAGATATTTAAAAATATATCCTCACGAAGAGATTTGTAGGGTAGATATTTCCAATAAAAGTGTTGGCAAATTTGGTATGTATGGAAAGTAGTGACGCCCAATCTTACTAGAAGAATACCCGATTCCCTGAAAACAGTCATGGGAAGGCATTGGGCAAAAATATCAGGGTATCAGTAGTATCACTGTCTGCCAGTTTGACTTAGGAAGCGGTTATTATTCTTGATCAAATGGTTAAGCGGTTTTGGGAACATTGAGGGGTTAAACGTACAACAGACTCAAACGGCGGAAAAAGAAGATGGCAGACGATAATCCAAATATTTACTTAGGCTTCAATATTTACGGTAAATGGGCAGAATAAGTAAGGACAAATATATGTTGAAAATGGGCCCTCCCCCAAAATCAAGTTACGTGACAAACATGGCTTCTAATCATCAAATCACCCAGTTTGTACATGGGAAGGCATCTTTAACTTAAAGGTACATTCCCGCGTACAAACTGGGTGATTTGATGATATATTTGGACTAAAAACATATTCAAACTAATTAATTTATTATAATTTTGCTTCAAATCCTTCCAAAAACATTGTAATTGCCAAGGAATACGTGACTTACCTCTCTCGGTACCTATAGGAACGGGTGCGAAGTCGGAGGAGAATTCATTGTATACACAAGACTGATGTTGTCTTTAATCGCTGACTATTTATTACAAAAATCGAATCCTAATTAAATTCTCGGATTATCCACCGCCCGCGTCTTTTTCCGTGATTTTTTTTCTCGGGAAGTGTTGTACGTCTAACTGTTCATAAAGTTTATCAACATGTACACCAAGCGGTCAATCTTCGCGTGAAACCTTCGACGTCACGCGTGCAGGTATTCCTAATCGTCGGGCTGTCGATTAGGGGAACTCTTTGTCCTGTATACGCTCCAGCATTTTTCTAGTAAGATTGGATATCTCTACTTTCCATATATACCAAAATTTCTATACTTTTATTGGAAATAATCACCCGATAAATACTTTTCTGGGAACCTATCTTTAAACTTTATTAACTGAAACTTTTAAGAAGATATTAACTTAAACGAGCTTAAATTTTTGCGATATTAAGTTAAACTTTCACGATATTAACTTACATTTTCAAGTTATAAACTTAAAGTTTTAATACATCAACTTTTACACTACTAACTTGAATTTTCAAGATACCAACTTGAATTTTCAAGATGCTAACTTGCATTTTCAAGATGCTAACTTACATTTGCAAGATATTTACTTGAATTAGCAAGATATTTACTTGAATTAGCAAGATACTAACTTGAATTATCAAAATATTAAATTGAATGTTCAAGATACTAACTTGAATGTTCAAGATATTAACTTGAATGTTCAAGATATTAACTTGAATTTTCAATCCGCTAACGTAGCAGTAGGCTCCCGTAGTTTTTCATATGCAAACAAGATAGTTTTAAACTAAAATTCCACTTTATAGAACAGCTGTTTATGAAACATTAATATCAAAACACTAACGACAATATTAAATCAATATAAATGTTAAACAGATTTTCATAACAAGACAAGTTTAAGTCTTAAGTATGTTTTTTTAACATAAAACTAAAAGTTAAGTCATACTTCTTGTATGAAATACACTGTTTAAGTTAAGCGTGGTAACTTTCACAGCTAGCAGTTATTTCCTATAGTATGTACAGAGCATACATGGGGACCTAGTATAACTTAAGATGTGTGGCTCAAAATGTTTAGAACATGAACAAATTTGGTAATTTGGAAAATGGCAGATCACTAACTGTATTTCACGAACTAATTGTCACTAGCTTAACACGTGCTAACAGGTGTCACCACTTGAACTTGCGCGAAATATTAATATTTCAATAGTTGCTTACTTATCATTTTATCCTTACTATTTCGGCA